GGCTTTTTCATGGGAGCTCAAGTTCAATATCTTCCCAGTGCTCCTGGCAGTTGCAGCAGAGGCTGAGCTGGTCTGTACTGGGGGAGGTGGGGGCAGGTAGGGAACCAGAAAGGCACTGCAGTAGTTGCAGAGCAGGCAGGAGCATGACCACATCTGTAGCATTTCATCCAGCTCAGTCACTTCTGCTTGAGGTTTCCCTTTTGACTTTCTTTTGGACTTTGCTTGTCTAAGCCACTGAACTGTGTTGCCAAGGTACCTGCATTTTAGGTGGCACTACACTGAGTGAAGTGGAAAGGAAGCAGATGAGCTCTGAAATCATGTTCCATCAAAACTACTGTGATTTTATGTATTTGTGTCGGATGTGCTTGGATGCAAGGACTCTGTTCAAGTGGTAAGAGTACAATAAGACTTGCAGTTCAGGGACTCAACACCAGACTGCTACACTTCTCAAAGTGCTGATTACTCTTTACCAGCAGTGCTGATACACGTGTTACAAAGCTGCCTTGCTAATACATGCTTCAAATCTAAAATGAGCAATGAAACAGTCCCTCCCAAAATGCATGTGCCATTCCTGAAGTATGTATGCTGAGGCCAGGAGAGCACCAAACATTAATTAGAACTCTGAGTGACACTACTGGCAGAGGTGTAAGACCACTGCATTTTGTGGTTTGATCTGCCAGGAAATTAAAACATTTGTGGGTCTTTCATGCAGTCTTTCTCCCCCGGAATGTTAAAGTTAGATGACTTTCAGCATGGTGATGCAGACTGTAAAGGTTCAGAGAATTACCTTGATGGTATGACAGCCTCTTCCATTTCAACGACAATCCAAGGCTCATCTTTCCTCTGAGGCATTCATTGAAATTCTGTGCACGATATGTTCCTCTGGTTGTTTAACAATGTCTCTCATGTTTGCCCTGATTTAAAAAATCCTCCTTTGTAGCAGAGATAACATAGAGCAGGATGATATAATTGCAGTAAAGAGGCCCTGGAGCTTGCAGTAATAGGATGGTTCATCTGATGTGTACTGCCATTAGGAAATAACCCACGTATGTATGTTCTCAGGGGACAGTAAAGAGGCTTTTAAGGATTACTCTGTATGTAGTATGAAAGCTAATGAGTAAAAGAGCAAGTGCAAATAAAACTATTGCTACGTAAGCATGGTGCCACTTCCAGTTCTCACTTATTTCCTTACACCTCTGTAGCTCCAAAACATCCATCTCTGCCCTGTGATGTGTGGTTTTTCATGCACTGCAGTCGGTTTGAGACTTTTGCAGACTTTTGAGAATACTGTATTATTTTCATTTCACTGAAAAGTGAAAAGCAAGGCAGAGCTAAGTTGAGGATTGAAACTTCTGTGTGTGTACAAAATAAGTAATTTTGAGGGAATAGCACTCTCAAATGGTCTGTGCCCTAAAGAAAAAAAAAAAAAAAGTAGATTTTGCTAGAATAATACAGTTTCACAAGCATTGGTGGAAGGTTGATACTAGCCTCAATTCTCTGACCTTCATTCTTTTTCCTGGCCAGTGTGCAGAAACATACGAAGACATAACACAGTTAGTACTGAAGGACTTGTTTCAAATGTTACATGTAGAATTTGGGCTGTGGTAGTAGGAGATCAAGAGCATCTAGTTTCTGATATTAACAACTTTTTGTCCAAATGGATTGCCACATAGCATGACAATTGCTCCACTTGCATTTGTGCTGAAGTAGAAGCCATTTAGCAGAACAGACATTGGCTTCTTTGTTTTGTCACAGCATTTTTTCTTTTGCTTATAGAGCTTGTTATAGATAAAAAAATAATTCACCTTTTAATACTCTGTACTCCCTCTGTACTGTTGGAATATATTTTTGTACCTTGTCAGATTTTTGTGTTCGATAGAATGTATGAACTTGGATTTTTCTTTATATATTTAACATAGTAAATGATCAAGCTTTGCTAACAGGTAAAATGAAGTGGCCTTACCTGAGCTGTAGAACCTTGCAGAGGACATGGGATTTTGACTAAATGCTATACTGGGGTTGTGCAGCAAGGTCTGACATCCATAACTTCATTTCATTCCAACGGGTACTGATGATAAAAAAGAAGTCCATGAATATTAGGTAAGGAAGAGATGACAGCCAGCGTTGTTGCAGGAATACACGCAGGCCAGTAACCTTAAACATCCCTGTTTCTACCCACAAGTCAAGGGAGTAAACAGACAAGAGTACCTCCTTCCGGACCAAAGAAGTGACTTATTTTCCCTTGAAGTCTAGGAGGATTCAGGATACAACCTCTTTGCTTCTATCTTATCAAATTGGAAGTATGTTAGAGTGCACGTGAGGTATTTTTCTCTTTGTGTCGATGCTTTTCTGTGTGGTCAGAGAATTGCAAAGGGCTCACAGAGGGAGTAGAAAAAAGGTCTCACTTTTAGGGGTGCAAGCAGTACTCTGCATATGGGGACAGGGGTAAAGAGTGCCCATGCCCTATGCACAGGAGAAATTCCTGAAGTCCTTGAAGGGTAATAAGATTGTTAAAATAATAATCCTTAGCCTAATAAACCTCAGGTCTTAAGCCCGTCTTCTTTTCGTATTCCTGCACCTAAAACTGGTTATGTCATGTACTAAGCAGTGTTTGATAATGCAGAGGAGATTTTCAGGGTGGAGAGTGTTTGTGTGTGCATGTATCATTGGAACTAGATGATCTTTAAGGTCCCTTCCAGCCAAAGCCATTCTGTGTTTTTGTAAAACCCCTATGAGATCATGCCCACACGTTTGTCATAACTGTAGCTCCTTCAACATTTCCATAAGTTTTTGTTTCAGTTTGATACTCATGTCTTTATAGGATAATACATTTGTCGTATTTGGAGAATGTGAAACACAAAACTTAGGGGAAGAGAGAGCTGCGTATTCAAACATTCAGCAGAGAATTAGCAGTAGTCTGACTAAAGTAATGGTAATGCAATCATATTTACTAGACATACCGGAAGAGTTTTCTACTTGACCCGAGTGGTGTCTGTCTCTGCAGAGTACCAGTCCACCGTCCTGCGCTGGTGCATCACGATCCAATTCTGTGAGCCCAAATCCAGTGTTCAGTTATATTCCCCAAATGTGTCACTTGATCCCTGGTCCACCATCCGTCTGTCGCTCTTTACACTTCTGGGACTTACTTTAACAACCGCAAGTGACGTGAGATGAATTATCTCTTGCTGCTTCTGCTGTCAGTTGACACCTCTCTATTAAACTTCCAGTCTTGCAAATACCAAAATAGTAGTGCTAAATTTTTTATTTCAGTCCTTTATCCCTCCCCCCTATAATTGGTATACTGGAGCAGAAGAGGACTTGCAATTTTATTATTGCTGTATAAGCCTTCTGTAAACTCAGTTACAGCACTTCTGATGTTGGTAATTTTTCTGACTAAAAAATATGCTGACACTGTGTTTGGGCATAGGAAAAGAGTAAATTTGAATGTATAATAATCTGGTGAATCTGGGAGGTGTTTGATGCTATATCCCAGCCAAGTTAATCACTCATGGAATTTTTTTTTTATTTGCTCAGTTGACTGGAGACATTAATCTCATATCTGTAGAAAGGCATCTTTAATGCCAAAAACTTGATCATAAATACCCAACATTTCTCTGGCATAGAAAAGATTTTGAAGGAAAGCTATCAGTTGACAATAGAGCAGCAGAAACAGACATTGTTACTTTATTTTTCTTACATAATGAAGAAATGCCCAGATGATGATTTTCAATTCATGAAGTATATCGAATCATGTATCATATTCATGAATATAAATTGAGCAGACGTGACACGCATTTTTCATATAAAGATGACATAGAGTACTCCTTCTGGTAGTTCTTTGTCTGAAATATGCTTATTCTAAGAACATCACTACAGAGTTAATAGTGCACTGCATAGCTGCATGTTAAAAATCAGAGTCCTAAAGAAACATCTCAAAGAGAAATTACTCATAGATTTATAATACTTATGGCTTGCCACATTTTTCAAGGACAGGATCTTTCTGCATATTCCTTTCCTTTCCTGCTTTTTCTGCAAAATTCTCCATCTCTAAATATTCACCCAGCCAACCCACTTTCATCTGTCTAGGCTCATTCTCAGGCTAAATCATGTTGCTGCCAAGCAGCGCACCATTCGTGCTTCACCTCCCATTCACACTTCTGCCTCATTAGCAGCTCGGCCCTCCAGATCATCCAGTCTCTGCCCATTTCTCAGTTAGTTGTAGAGGAGTTGTCCCAGGAGAAAACCTGCAATATTGTGGTGACTTTGAACACAGAGTTAGTCACAGGTTAAAACAGAAGCATCAGTTTCTCATACTTGTGCAGGCACTTGTGTGTCAGCAGTGTTCCTACTGAAAAATGGTGAGGACACTCTCTAATTTATGATTTTCCTCCTTTGACAAATACGAAACTAGTAGGATGGAATATGACCCCTAGTATGCTCTAATAACATAAAAAACCCCCTTGCAAATAGGAGCCAGTGTGTATACAGATGTTCTTCTTGATTAAAATAAAGCCTTCTCTGTTTACATCACGCTAGGAAGCTGCATTACAAGAAAGATAAGAGGGTAAAATAAGAAATGTGACCTGAAAGAAACTGTCAGATTAGACTGACAGATGAAGGCCAAATACTGGTGTCCTTGAAGTTGATGGGATTTTTGCCTCTGAGAAAGTAGCCAAAAGACAGTAGCACCCTGTGTCTCTTTTAGGGTTTACAGTCCTGCACTGCAGTCAGACATCCCTCAAGGAGGTCTCTGCCACAGGGTAAAAGAGCATAACAAAAGTGTGCTGCCTGTCCATGTTAGCCTTCCTAAGCTGTCAGCTCACAGCATTTGTTTATTGCACTTCAATTTTCCTGTCCAGTAATGCTTCTCTAGAAATGAACTTTGACTAATTTTTGACTAATGCAGGGAGAAATGATGGGATCATTTCCTGTTCCTTAGAACAGTTGTAATTTTGCCCTTACAAGCAACAGGGTATTTGAAGACGTCTTTCTTCTTCCAGGTTACCAGTCTGTCCTGCCAAACCAGCAGCAGGGTTTCCAGGGTCTCATGGGAATGCAGCAGCCGCCCCAAAGCCAGAACCTGATGAATAATCAACAGGGAAATCAGGTGCAAGGCATGATGGTGCAGTATCCAGCCATGTCGTCTTATCAGGTATTTAGGAACCCTAAGGAAAGACTGCTTTTCTTGGAGAGTGCTTAATTGAATTAAGTTTTTGTATCACACAATGGTCATATAGCTTCATTTGGACAGTGTGTGGCAGGAGGCCTCCTGATGAAGATGTCCTAAATCAAATCAGTTTCTTTGCTTCCTGTTTACATAGTCTTAGTATTCCTGATTTTAATTCTGAATTGGGAATACTTCAAATGAACTATTTATTACAGCTTGCAGTGAGAGTAAAATGTCACAAAAAATGAAGGAATTAGACTTCTTCCTGTGAAGAAAATTAACTAAATAAATATAAGAACATTGTGTATTTCTTCTTTTTTTTTGCCAGTACAGTACTGTTTCCTGTTTTGAAGTTGAGGCCTTTGCCTGATCAAGTTAAAAATTACTCATCTGTGGAGACTCCTGCCAAGGATCTCACCATGTCTTCTATAACAAGCTGTAGCCAGATGGATTATTGTTTATTGGGTTCTGGGGAGAGGGAAGGCAGTGTCTTGATTTTTACCAGGTCTGTAAGTTCCCAGACTTATTTCCCCACCTTATACCTAGTTTCTGTGAGATATGCCAAGAGCATGTGAGAGGTGGCCTGTGCTTACATTTCTTACTGGTTCCTCTGGAAAGTTAAGAAACTAAATGACATCTAACATTTTAATAGATTGCACTGACTGAGCAGCCATTCCACTTTTCCCTTGGCTTCTCTGAAAACACTACAGCAACCCAGATGGAAATGGGGGAATTACTTGTGGGTAAAATTTTCCCCTTACATCTTCAGAATTACTGTACTGAAAATGTGTTTTAAAGTTTAACAATCAAGATAGGGGTTTAGACCTTTTAGATGGCCTAGATATACCAGGGTCGAGTCTTTCATTTGCATTGATCCCAGAAGTTTATATTCCACTAGGTCATAACAGAGACACTTTCCTGACCTAGGAGCAGAGGGAATTCTCTTAAACTCTTCTCTAACAAAAAAATCCTCGAGATGAGAACAGTTCTGAGCAGCACAAAATTACACATTTGGGCAGAACACGTAGTATACTCAAATTCAGCTAGAAGGAACGTAGGGATACTGGGAAACTACTTTAATTTGCTTAGTAATTGCTATCTTCTTTTTTTCTACATCTTTCTGTATTCCTACCTAGGTGCCAATGACCCAGGGTTCTCAAGGATTGCCACAACAATCATATCAACAACCAATCATGCTACCTAATCAATCAGGTCAAGGAACACTTACAGCCACTGGAATGCCTGTCTACTGTAATGTCATACCTCCTGCCCCACAGAACAACCTACGGTTGATTGCCCCACACTGCCCCTCCAATAACGTTCCAGTTATTTCTGCCAGCTGCAGGACAAACTGTACGAGCATCAACAATGCAGGGTGGCAGGTCAAGTACTGACACTGTGGCTTAAAGTGGATATATGAGGATAGCGGTGCATTATTTGACAAATAAATCATGGCCTTCAAATGAAGAGGAACACAACAGGATAAACAGTTGAGGGCATAAGTACTGACTATGCTCAAGTGATTTGCTGCTGGAAAAATCTGTAAAAAAAATAAAAGTAAAATAAATTTTGAAAAAAAAAATGTTTGCTGGTTAATGGTGCATATTTTTGTCATGTCTGCTAGGTATGCCTTTATAGCTTAGCTAGTGACATGAATTCATTGAGGTAAGATTTTTTCCTACCACTGAACACCACTGTGTAGATTGTAATATCCCCGATTCGGATTAGTTTTGTACTTTGTGTTGACTTTGTGAAGCTAAAAGTATTTAAAAATATGATAAAAATCACATTGTACCAAAGCTGTAATGGAAATGAAAAAAAAAAAAAAACAAAAACAAAAAGAGAATTACTGAATGGAAGGAATAATTTATATACACTATAGAGTTTTTTATGGATATATACTGTATTGTAGTGCTTAATCACAATAAAGCTATTTGACCTCATGGAGGAAGGTCATGTTTCTACCACCTGCTTGGTCTCCTCTGTTTCTGAGTGAACTTCCATTTGGTTCTGCATTGTCTTGTTTCAGGTGAAGCTAATGGGGGAATGGTGCTTAAAGGGCTTACAGGCGTTTGATGAGAAGACAACGTACCTATGTCTCAGCATATGTACCATAACAGCTAAGACCACTTAGAAATTGTAGCATAGCCACACACGAAGTATTCAGTGAAGGATGTACCAGTTCATCTTAAACTGAGTTTGCACTTTTCCAATCCCTAGGACAACCAGTAATGTCACAAACACAATTCGTCACTGTTACAAGCTTCTACTAAGTCATGCCTCTCCAAGAGGCCATACAACAGTTGTATATTAGAAGACATAGTTGTCTCATGATATCCCGTCCACTGGATGGAAGATCAGTTGCTACTGATGTAGCAACCACAGTAACCGGCAACGCTGCTGCATAGATACTCTGCCCATTCATCAGTACTCCAGCTGTAAACTGTTTTGACACAAGATGGCCCAAAAATCTGGTCCATTGTGTTCAAGTAAGTGGGGATGAACAATATATTTGGGGGTTTGGCTTTTAAAACATAGTGGTTTGCCAGAAATTTTTAGAACTTTTAATTCCAGTGGTGTTTCTCATTACTGTGTCCATCTTCACTCAAATTCTCTTCTTGTTCTGATTAATTGGTTTTGATTCATAAATGCTGCATTGAGTTCCTCGTTTTGATTCCATGATGACAACATCTGAGACACAAATGTGTTTATCAGACAAAAGTTGGTGTTGTTTTTCACTTAAACTGCATTTTTGATAAATTTTGAACACTTTTACAATAGGTAGGAGTTGAACACTCCAGAATAAGGCATATGCATTATGAAGAAACCCGAGATCCTTTTGTGTATAAAAGCTGTATGTGTTAGAATACAATTTTAGGTCCACCCAAGATTACAGCAGCCAACAAGGCCCTGGACCATAGTTAATCTGAATGTGAAAGAGCTTTTATTTCACATTTAAGATAGCTGACCTTTTCTTTACTTTCTACTTCAGCTGTGGAAACAAGCACTGGAGGGGCTACTTCGCATATTTAAAACAAACATTTTTCTTTTCTATACAATGAACAGATATCTTTCAGACTTCAGTCTTTTTTTACGTGTGTGTCTTAAAGTGTGGAATCCAGTCCTGTGGGATCATAAGAAAGCCAAACACTGAATTTTATGTAGTGTAATCATGATTCATTTGCTGAGAGACAGTCAAGAGCATGAGCAGTTAAGTAAACACAATTCACTCTTCAATTAGAGGTGAAATGCCTTGGGAGAGCCTGCTGATTGATTTTTTTTTTCCTTTTTTTAAATCAAGATACTGCATTTGAATTTTGCCTGTGACCCTGAGCTCTCATTTCAGATGCTCTGCATTGTATGGCTTATTTCTTTTTAGTGTTTTACATACTACAGAGGTTTCTCTCCTAGCATTACTATAATTACACTTAATTGGATTTGCTGCTGCAGAACAACTGACAGCTGAATGAATGGGTGTCCTTCTCTGTCAAGACTCCACAGTCCAGCAGGAAGGACCTACCTGCAGGTGACCTTGAGCAGGACAGATTTGTGTGTGCCCAGGCTGAACGAGAGGGGAGGGAGGAGGAATCTCTGTGCACCCAGTGTCTGGAGTGAAGAGATGCTTTGGTTGTCACTATATTTAAGTCCTATTTCTTCTCCGAAGCGCTATTGTTACCTTACTAATCTTCCCACTTGTCAGGGAACAATGAATGAATTGCCTAGTAAAAAAAATTTGCTCTCAGCATCGTAGATTGATGGCAAACTGGGCTGTAGATGATCTCAGTAGAGATGGGCAAGAGAGTCAAAAAGGAAAGCCTAGGAATCCTGCTTCTGTAAAGACAGAATTTCCTCATGTCTTTATTCCACTTTTGGTCATGTCCCCTTAGCAAACAGCATATCCTATGCCTGACCATGGCCATGCTTTCCCACAGTTTACCTGTCTCTGCTAGTACAATGACCAGCTGGTATAAAACATGTACTTAGTTGTGGGAGCAGGGATCCTGCTGGCTGACTTCTCTCAGCCTTGTGACAGCAGCACCTACCTGAACATTAATGTACATTCCTGCTGAAATGAGACTTTAGCTTTTTATGTAAAATTGAGCAGTTTCAGGAGGAGGTCACAGCCACCCGCCCCAAAATGTCTTACATCCTCTGATTGTCTCACTCTCCAAAGAGTTTGAATCTCCTTAGGCATATGAGGAAACTGAAACTGTTCTCCCTCAGCTATGGAGAATGCCCTAATTATTACAGTATCATATACATGGGGGAGACATCTCACGTGGTGGTGCACATATTTGTTTTATGCTGGAAGAACTTGCATTTGAAGACAAGTAATTTTTTTTTCTGTATTAAGTGAAACACAAAAATTATCCTCTAATTTTATGTTTTAACAATAAGATATTTTTAATATCTTATGATAATAATTAAACTTTTTGTTCATTAATAAAAGTATTTTGAGCTGGATTGCTTAGGACCCTTCTGCTATTAAACCAGAGATGTTTCAGCATTGTCAGAAGAGGAAGAGGAGGAAAAAAGAAATGACCTGCAAATACACATAACAAAATAGGTAGGTGAAGCTCAACATTTTTTTCTCAGTCTTTTGAAATATTTATAGGTAATCTCCATAAGACGGGTGCTGTTAGATTCACCTGGCCAAATGTAGTTCAAGCAACTTATCAATTGGTCACCATGAGTTCAGAGTCCAGCTCCAGTGAAATTATTTACAGGACATACACGCCTCCTGTTGGGATGCTTTGTCACTGTGGGCTTATTTTTCGCTAGTCTTCCTTTGGAAATTGGCAGACTCAGGCATCTACTCTGTGGCACCCCTGTTGTGGTGCTAGAGACTGTTGCATTTTCCCTTTGCCTACTGCATCCTTTCCTGGTTAATTGTATATTGCTTTCTCCTTCTTTTTATATTCTACAGCTGATGGAAAGCTCTCCCAAGGCCCCATACATATTTAATTTGCCACTTTTTTTTTTAAATTTATATTGCACTGAGAAACCAAAGAGGCATATCCTGAATTAAGCTGACTGCATTAGATGACACTGATCAGCCTTTTGGATGGGTCTAATTCATTTGGGCTTTCATTTGCAGAGGCTGTGCATCCTAACAGAAGCCAGATGCCATTTGCTCTTGCTTTGCCCTTTGTGCTGCCCAAAAAGTCAATGATTTTCTCCTAGAACTGTATCATCTTATGTTTCTGTTTAACTCTGTGTGAAAAACTTCCTGTACTGAAGGAAGACTGCATGAATTATCCCAGCAGCGAGGAATGGAAATGTGCAGGGAGGTTGTAGAATGCCCAGAGCATCTTGTTCTCCGCCCCCTTAGCTGTAGCGTGGGGACCCTCCCTGACATGACCATTGAGTGCTTCAATATGATTGTTTCATTTGTGTTCCTAAAATGTTCCTAAAATGTCAGTGTCTTTTCAGCCCCTCCATTTGTTAAGCTGCGGCCCATGTTGCCCCTTTGGGCTAATTATAGAGAAACCAGTTTCCCTCCCTTAATGTTCAGTGGAGAGGCTCTGATGGAGGGTGCTGCCCAGACAGGGCTTGGAGTTCTGGAGTATTGTCTCTCAGAGCTCCTCTTGATAGGTAAGGGAGAGGGAAACTTGTTCCCTCAGTCTTCAGAATTATACAGCTCATGCTTAGCCCAGAGACTGTGCTTCAGAAATGCTCACAGCTTCCACACCTGCTTAGCTCATATTGTCTAAAATCACGTTGCTGCTGTAGGGCATTACCATCTGGTCTTGGGCAGTGGCCAGCTTAGGGCAAACATTGAGGCAGTCTCGACTGGTGTTTCAACTGCAATCCTACAAGCCTCAAGAAGATTGTAGCAAGGTGGGAGTCGGTATCTTTTCCAAGGTAACAATTACAGGACAAGAGGAAATGGCCTCCATGCACCAGGGTGGGTTTAGATTGGATATCGGGAAAAATTTCTTCACTGAAAGGGTGGTCAGGCAATAGAATAGGCTGCCCAGGGAAGTGAGGAAGTCACCATGCTTAAAGTGCTAAAAAGATGTATGGATGTGGCACTTGGAGACATGGTTTAGTGATGAACACTTTGCCACTAGGTTAATGGTTGGACTCAGTGATCTTAGAGGTCTTTTCAAGCCTTAATGATTCTATGATTCATATCTATGTAGCAGGATATAGAAATGCCTTGAGCGTTTTGGATAAGACTCACTGCATGCACATTGCCTGCACCTACCACAGTGCAGATGATGCAGCACTTTGGAGGATGCCCACTTCCCAAATCAGGGCTAAAGATGGCCATTTCTAATTGAATTTCTGCCCTTGGTTTGTTTTAAGAATCAGCTGTCTTCCTTGCTGGTTCCTTTCATTCTTCAGAAGAGTGGCTATAATGAGCCTTTGAGGCAGTGGACTAATGGTTGAATATTTAATGCCACACAGTGTTTCTGAGGATGGTTGGCCTTGCATTCAGTGATTGGCATGAACTATTCCTGTACTGCTTTGTTTTGCAGACCTTGGCTTACACACTGCTGAAAACACAACTTTCCAGTGCACATCAGAGGTGGGCATCAAACCCCACTCTTCTGGCTCCTTTTACAATATCCCACCAACTGTGGAAGGAGATGACTCCCCATTATCTCTCCTGATATAAGGACAAGGGGACATAAAAGAAATTTTGCCTATTAAACAAGCAGTCTCCAAACAAAGGAAACATAAGAGGAGCTCTTTTCCCCCCATTGAATATATAGACAACCTGTGGCATTCCTTGCTGCAGGATGTAGGTGCCATTTCTGAAATAAGTGAACATGGTTAGAGAAGAATTTTGTATTGAAAGCTGCTAAATACAGCCAGATGGTGTTTAGTCCACAGAGGCAGAAAACAGCCTGAAGAAATGTTGCCATAGCATTCCCCCATCTATAAAACCTTTCCCCAGAAACTATTAGAGATAAATATTGGACTGGGAGTGAACATCTGACCTGATAAAATATGCAGT